TTAAAAATAACACAATGGTGCTCTAGGAGGAGATTCAGGTGATAAGGTGGGGGGGGGTACCTTGGTTGGTGATTGGCTAATGGTTACACAAGCCAAAAAAACATTATGACATCATCAAGTGGCCAAAATTTGATCAGCTCATTTTCAGACAGGTTTTTATATAAATGGATCAGGACAAAAAGTGAAGAATCTTTTTTCCTGAAACTTTCTGAATCTCTTTACACAGAGGGGACTCATGGTTATGTATAAAAGAGGTGAAAAAGTGGATTTTGCATAATAGGTTACCCTTATCTCAAGAGAGTACACTCCACAGCCACTCACACTTACAGATGCTCGGCATAGTTTTTACTTGTGTGCAGTGTACAGTAGTGGTTCCACCGTCCTCCGCAGATGACATGTTTCCATTTATGGTGTGTGTGTGTGTGTGTGTGTGTGTGTGTGTGTGTGTGTGTGTGTGTGTGTGTGTGTGTGTGTGTGTGTGTGTGTGTGTGTGTGTGTGTGTGTGTGTGTGTGTTCTCACNAGTGTGACTGTAAGCTGTGTTCAGAACTTCTCTATCCTCTGAGGATGAAGTAGCTATGTTCCTACATTTGAGATCGATTTCACTTGTATATTGACTTTCTTTATTAAATATAACAAAAGACAAATTTTGTCCATGAATCATTTATCAGTTTCTCTTAAGAATTTCCTCCACAGTTGCAGATGTTGTACTCACAGTGGGAGCTTCTGCTCGGTCCCCTGGTTCTCCGTCACCAGCGTCACCTCCACCTCAGCGCTCTTATACAGAGGAGAAACCTCCACCTGCAGCAGGATCTGATGAGCTGAGCACAGAGAGAGACATGTATTAAGTACTGATCTTCAACATCTACCTGCAAAATATCAAAACTCTAAAGTAGAACACAATATGAAACATGTAGAGAGTATTAAAAGCGGCCTTTAAAACTTAAAATAATGCTAAAATCTGTGTCTGAAGTGTATAATTACGGAAAAAAGACAGACATAAACCAAACAAACACATACAGCCCTGGCATAGATCAAGATCAAATGACAGAATTCATTTATCATTAAAATCATTGTGCCACTCAATTATTGGTTCAGATACTCACTGCAGAAAGGTGATGAAGAAGTCGTGAGGAGGAAAAGCTTCTGCTCTTTGGGTAACGGAGATATGGAGATCCCACTGTTTTCTGATAAACCTGGACACACACACACACACACACACACACACACACACACACACACACACACACACACACACACACACACACACACACACACACACACACACACACACACACACACACACACACACACACACACACTATATGTCAGATTTAACATCACACATAAAAAGGGCCCCATGTAGATAACTGTGTCTCTGTATCAGTGCGTGTGTGCGTGTGCCAGGGGGTTGTACGATAAGAAGCTGACGTCATACCTGCTGGTGATACTGAGGACAAAACTAACATAACCATTAAATATATATATTAAACTATACGATATCTGTTCCTCCACACTCTGATGGAAACATCTATTACATACTCTTTTACCCCAGCACAGTGATGATCCTCCACAAGTTCTGCAATCAAAACGCATGTCCCCAGGGGCCACGTGGAGTAGTACAGTAGAAAAACGCATGATAAGAAACAATAAAACTAAAACTAAACAAATGTCAGTGGTGGGAGAAGTGCTCAGATATTTTACCTAAGAAAAAGTAGCATTATAACAGTGTTAAAATACTCTACTATGAGTATTAGTCCAACATTCAAAATGGTAAACACTATACTTAAGTACCATTTGTAAAAATATGCAGTGTGGCTAATTTCAGAATCATATATGTGAAATGATTGTATTATAGTTATTGACACATTACTAAGACTGCCAGGTAGCTCAACCTAAAAATAATATGTCATGATTTATAGTTCTGCAAAAATAACAATCTGCAAAGTAGAATTGAAATATGTCAAATTAAGAAGTACAACATTTGCCCACAAAATGAAATAGAGTAAAAGTATAAAGTAGAATGATTCGAAAAATAAAGTACCTCTAAATGTTCCTTAAGTTCTTGAGTAAATGTACTTCAACATTCAACCTCTGACCATACCCGCCCCCCATCTTTTCTGTTTTTGTTTGTCTTTTTAAGTATTTTTCTTAGTTTTTTGTTTTATTCTCTGTCAAAGCGTCTTTGAGTTTTTAGGAAAGCGCTATATAAGTTTCATGTATTATCATTACTATTATTATTACTTAGTTACGATACGATACGATAATACTTTATTTGTCAGATCAAGTCTGAAATTTGACTTGCGTCACAGCAGCTCCATGTCCAACATCAACAGACAAGTATCCAGACACATATACAATACACAAACAACAAACATTTAACATAACAGCACAATCAGTGAGAGAAAACATGCTCAAAGAGCCTTCAGCGTGCATTTGATCTGGGATTTAGCTCTGTATTTACTGTGAGGATTGACTGATGCACAAAGTAGTTAGTTACTTTCCACCTGGTCAAAAGCATCATGTTTGAAGAGTTCACGTCAGATAAAGCGGAATAAATATTAATAACAATGCAGAAAATAATAAAAAGCTACATAAAAGCAGCACATCCTGCTTCCTCACCTATAGTGGGACATTTGCCCTTGAAGGCGTCACAGGTCAGGCAGCGTCCCTGCTGGAAGTCCTCGTAACTGGAGCACGGGACCCCCACCAGCGGGCACGAGCCGTTCAGCGCGCTCATGTAGACGTAGATCGCCCTCATGTGGTCACACAGCACATAACCAAACACTGAGGGGGAGACAGGAAGTGACGACACTCAAACACTCAGGCAGCTATACATGTCTGCAGGTCTGCAGGAAGTAAGAGTTATTTAAATCTGTAAAACTGGGATCCATTATTGCATTTTTAAATCATGACTTCTTGATGATAAAATACACATTTCTGGAGGTAAAGCAACAATCAAAGCTTTCCTTTTCAGATACTCAACCTAGGTTTAAAATCAATGGTGGAATAACTGCTTAGCTCCTTAAATAAAAATAAAAATGGCAATAAATATGTTAAAATTATTTATAAACTAAGAGTCCGATATTACAACTTTAGAGTCAAATTGAAAAAGCATTAGCGATAAAATAAATTTTAAATACAAAAGTGTATGAATGCCAATGTCCCATTTCAGATATGACTAGAGTATGACTACTGATGCATGATTACAATGTGGCGATGGCTCATTTAAATTATTGTGAATTCTCCCCTAGGATCAATCAAGTTATCTTATTGCATAATTGCAGCTAAATGTAGTTTTTGATTACATGAAGCTGAATCTACAAAGTATACAGTAGCAGAACATGCAAGTACTTAAGTACATTAAACCTGTACTCACGTTGAGTAAATCTACTTATTTACCTTCTACCTCTGGTTTAAGTGAGTGTCATCATACCTGAGCTGAACCTGGAGCGAGCACATCCTGTCTGATCTTTCCCTCCGTTCAGGAAGAAATCCACATGACCGACAGAAATGGAAATCCCAAAATCTGATGATGCAGATAGAAAAAGAAAATGATGATAATCGTTAAAGCAATACTTTATCTCTTTATTTACTTTGTCCATTACCATTGCTTTCCAAATGTAACCTCTAGGGCAGGGGTTCCCAACCTTTTTTCCCAAGAGCCCCCCCAAATGACTCCTGTTGGAAGTTGCGCCCCCACACACACAAAAAAAGGGGGGGGGCCGCAACAGTGTAATTCAAGTTTCAAAGTCTCAAAAATGCTACAACTACTGTCACAAACTAGATGAATGTGAAGTATCTTGNCGCATTGTTTTGGTAGGTGTTTTGTACGATCTAGCTGGTAGGTTAGAAGAAGAGGATAACACGGCAACGAACGCCATACCAACATGCGGCCGACATGATGGTTGATAGTGTTCGGAAAGTGACCCAGGGCGTCAGGATGTGCAGGCGCTTTGACTCGCTTCGCTATGATGGACGAGAGTGGGTAGGCGAAGCAGGAACGTGTGTGCGAGACAACACGATGGCACACACACTCACAATATAATAGGTTCTAAATGAGCTGTTTTGCTAGCATAGGCAAAGTCTGCTTGGGAATTCTATGATGTCAGTTTCTTTCAAAGGCAACAGTGTTAGCCTGTTCCCCGCACCTTTCCAAGCATGTTAATGTTGCCCATTCGTAGGCTGAAGCGGCATGTTAAGTAGGAGTATGTCAACAATACGTAAAAAAGGATCGGATAATAGAACTTACAACTCTTCACATTGCCACCCGAGAATCCACATGACGCGAACGGAATGGAAATTCCCAAAATCTTGATGATGCAGATTGAAAAAGAAATGATGATAACAGCGGGTAATTCAAGTTTAAAGTCTCAAAAAGGCTGCAACTACCGTCACAAACTGGATGAATGTGAAGTATTTTGTTAAAGGAGGATGAAAGCGTAATTAAGGAGCACTATTGGAGTGACTTTGACGGTTATTGGACTCAGGATGAATTCATTTGGATTCCCGCTGTATGAAGAAATTAAAGGACGGCGCAAGTGGAAACAATTCACAAAGGGATTAAACTGTTTAAAACACATGCTCAAAGTAAGCTGGATTTTGCCGATGTGTTTATGTGGATTCAAAAATTGTAAATAATCTACAAAATAGAGGAGACCGATCTGATCGGAGCAACTGTGACAAATAATCCAACTGAAACCGGCATGGACAATGACTATGTTTTAAAAATGCGCTTATCCAGAAAAGCATTATACACTTCTGTCTTTAATAGCTACTAACTTGAATTTTTATTACAACTAATTAATCAATTATTTTTTATATTTTATTGTAATGTAGAGACAAGGCTTTTAGTGACAATCATGTATTGCGTTACAATTATATGTAAAAAAAAAAAAAAGTCTAAATATGATATTTGGCCTCAAATCGTCTGAGGCCTGGCACCCCCCCTGTGGTCTTTGGCGCCCCCCAGGTTGGGAACCACTGCTCTAGGGAACAATAACGGCTTATCTTTCCTCTTATTCAAAATGTACTGCATTCAATATTTAAATAAAAGAGATGCACTAGTCTTTTTGTTCTGCTTTGTTTTTTAATGTTTTTGTGGCTTACAATAAATAGACCAGGCTCCAATGATCCCTGCGTTGCAAAATGACAATAATCTGAATCTCAAAAGTTGAACTGTATCCTGTTCACCTGTTGACCTTTTTGACATGGAGGAAACATATGCTTTCCTCCATTGTAAACACACTTGTAGACATGATGGTACACGTGTACTATAGTATTTTGGTTGGAGATTTAGCCTAATTCTATTTGGCTTTGTGTGATGTAAGTGAAAGTTGTCTCACAGTCAGAGTCGGTGTGGATGGCCTCGACGAACAGAGCGTCAGACGGGTCGAGGCGGTCGTAGGTGTCGGAGCCTTTAAACAAAGGACCAGCCACGTCCAGACCTGCAGGACCAGAGAAGGAGATTAGAAACTAAAACATCGCTGCATCTTCAGTTAACTTCATTTGCATTTCTAGTTTGAATTACCACACTCAAACTTACATATCGTTCATTTTTAATACAAAGTTAGAAACATGAGAACTTCAGCTTCATTTTTTCTCCATGAGCCTTTTTCTCTAAAATTGTTTGCACTTATAATAAAGTATTATGTTGCTGCTGACGTGCAGAAATACCTGGATGTGTTTTTATTACGTCACTTTGTGAGAATAAAGAGGTTTAATTGAAATAGAAATCTTTTATTCAAAATAAAGAAATTGGAGATATCTTATAGTGAATTATTTTGGATTCAGTCAGAAAACAATATAAAGGAAATTACAGTCAGACATTACTGAATAGACTCCCTTACAAAACATTGACTAATTTTTGCTAAATATATTTTCAGTGGAAGTCTTGCTGCATGTTGCATTCAGTAACGGTTCCCCTTTCCTGTCAATTCCTCTTCATGTACCCACTCTTCATGACAATCCCGGCAATAAACTAACAAAATGTTATTTAGAAACCACGCTTTACTCGTAGACAAGATGCATCATTATTTATTTTTTAACTTTTGTCTTATTAATATTATAATTATTTGTGTATGACTGGCCTCCAGGCAGCAGCTGTGTCTCTGAATTCCACCTTCATTCAAACCTCCTCACTCAGACAAAAAGACCTGTTATAAACCAGAGAACAGTGGAGTAGTGTGTGTGCTGGTGTTCGCTAGAGAGATGAGTCTGTACGCAGAGTCAGAGAGGCTCTTATCAAAGTGCTGTCCTTTGAAGAGCCCGGATTATCTTCCAAGGTCACAGTGAATCATATTCACAGCTGAGAGGCTCTGAGAGACTTGGTCTGCCCTGTTGTTCTGCAGCAGAGTGGCAGCTTTTAGTTTCAAATTCACAGACAATATTCAAGAAGTTTTTCTTCATGGTTTGGGTATTTATGTAACAAAGAAGGGTGCTTCTTCAAATTGAAGTGTACCAGGTCTCCAAAACCTTTAATTACGGCATCTCAAATTATTTTTTCAGATTCCAGTACTGAAATGGTCACAGAACACTAGTATGTTGGTTTTTGGATCAAACTGGTCAGCTAATAAGGGATATTATTTAGGTTTGTTTCTTTAAGAATAAAGTGGTTTCTCTACATTGTGGGAGAATAGTTATTGAGGCAATTTTGTATCATTCTTGGATCTTAGCTGTGACTCCTTAGGAAGCTGCTCAAGTGGCACCCAGATTGTTTTATGTATCTAAAGAATAATAACATGTTCCTTATGCACCAATTTGCGTCATGTATTTGGTGCAGACTCACCTGTGATTCGTCCTATCTTCCCATCGAAAAGGGTCCCCACAAAACCAGCGACGTGCGCCCCCAGACTGATGCCGATGAAGTGGAAGGACTGCAGTTTGCATCCATGTTCCTGCAGCTGGTTGATGAGCACGGAGATCTGCAGAGCCGCCTCCTTGTAGTTCTCCACCACCTGGTTGTAGGCGAAGGAGGCGCTGTAGACCCAGTCCACAACCAGCACGTTCACATCCTGGGCCTCCAGCAGCGTGCGGGCCAGGAGCCGCACCCAGGTGGGCCTACTGCCCGTAGTCCTGCAGGGGGGGAGGGGGGAGAGAGATGGTGGTATGGAGCAAGGAAGGAGGATGTGGGAAAGGGAAGAAGGGAAATAAAAACAATAAACCCAGCTGGTGCCCATCACATTTCAATTGTCATGGCTTGCATGAAGCATGAGGTTGACCAAAGATTTAAGATTCAAGGCTTTTATTGTCATTTGTACACAGCTACAGTGTAGATATATAAATGAACATCTAAGGCCACAGGCTCCTCCACCAGTGCAACACAATAAAACAGATACAAATAGTTAAAATAGTGCAAGTAAATACAAATAAAATAGACTAGAGATAGTGCAAGGAGAGTCTACAAGTAGTTGGAATATGATATATTAGATCAATAATTTGTAATTTGCAAACAGATGAATGTTATGGATGTTCTTTCAAAAGTTAATGTGTTTAACAGTCTTATAAAGATGTGCATGCCCAGTTGTTGTGTAGTGTTACTTTTACAGTGCTGTTTTTGTCCTGCACGCAATATTATATAATAGTTTGACAATTTTTGAAAGTCAGACTGAAGCTTGAATTCATGCTGTTAACTTTGGTCTGAACTTTTCCCACCCTAAAACCTCCTGTCATGTTTGTTTCCCACACCTTACTTTAGTGTTCCCGGTTAAATCTGACCAGTATGTTTTAAGTGCTCTTACATTAACACAAAAAACATTAAACCTCACTAATCGTATGTGTCCAAATGCCCACTGTGGAGGATATCACAAGGCCTTGAGGCAATCAAATGTAAAACACAATATTTATGATTGAGATTTTACCCGAACACGGCAGTAAGACCACAAACTAAACCTCAATATAGAAACACATCAAGAGAAATAATCCAACTATTGTAATCTAACCAAAAAGTTAAACCTGCATGTATTGTGATGGATGAGTGCTAAGGGTCTTTAAGGTTTCCTCTCCTCACCTGAAGCCGTGGATGATGACCTTAGTTGGGCGGGAGATGTTGAAGTTAGTCGGCGGTTGCTGTGTTTCAGAGAGAGACTCGTGTCTGAAGCGCTCTGCACAGTCCATGTTACTCCTGGTGAGCAGCAGGTACTGAACCTGCACCTTGCCTCTCTGCTGCCGGTACTCCAGCAAGGTGTAGTTGTTCAGGTCGGCACACTCATCGTCACTCTGAGCTTCATCTGTACCTGCTCAATGAAAAGCATATCATGTAGTTACTTTTTTATGTGCGAGTGTAGTACTGAGGGTTCCTTAATGTTGCATCACACAACAGCAAACTCAAGATTCGGACAATAAAACATACGATGATACTTTATTATGGTCATTATGGCCACTGGAGACATCATGTTCAAGACCCTTGACTTACATTTGATCTGAGATTTCACAACGTTTATTTATCACACGGCCTAGTTGAATACTCAAATCTGATTGGTCAATTTGGACATTGCAGAGGACAGATCATTTTTGCTAGCAGCCATTGTTTAGTTTTTTCTGCATTGGATACTTTTACATTAAATACTTGCAGATTATACGAACTTAGTTTTACTTAAGTATAATTTTCGTTACAAACTTGTATTTTTACAGTGTAGTATTAGTACTTTTATTTCTATAAATGATCCAAATACTTCCTGCGTCCAGATGAACTTAAAACATGCGCACACACAAAAATATTTTTATATGGTGAAAATAAAACGGTGGATATTGAGCAAACAATTGTATGAATTATTTTCATAGCGAAACCGATAAATGTACTATTCATTTATATGTTTATCCATGATTTATAGTTGTAAGCGTGATAGGAATTATGTAATGTCTGTCGATCGTTATGTGTTCCTACCAAGTACTAGGCCACAGTTGGGAATTAGCCAATAGCTACTCAATCAATCTTTTTTTGTTGAGAAACATGCTCTCTATGCATGATCTTTGTTTATTAAAGACTTATAATAATAACAGTGTGTATTTGACTTCAGATGACAACACATATGAAATGTTGTGTGAAGATATTCTTCCCATGTCTTATAATAAACAACACTACATTTAAATGCAGATGACAAAAACAGACAAATTATGTTTTTGTGAGGAAAACAATAGTTTTTAATGGTAATAAGGTGTGATATATTGGTATTCATTCTTACAAATAGCCAGTGTATCATCGTGTATTTGCAAATATAAGAACTCTTAACAAAACACTGCACTTAATGCATTTATTGTCCAGCATTTATTGGTGAGTTTATTCATAACGCTGTATTGTGGTAAATGCTCCTGCAGAGATACGTTTTTACACAGGCAATTACAAAGCTCAACCCGTTTCTCTACATGTATCCTTGAGCTATTGGATGAAAAAATACCAGATAAAGTGCTGAAGAAGGTAAACAAAGATGTCCATGACGAGCTTCTTCACTTACCCAGCACCAGAGATGTGATGCACACAGTGAGAACACAGAGGAGGACCGGTGTCCGTGTCCGAGACATTTTCTGCAGTGAGCGTGGAGAGAAGCTGCTGGGAGCTTTAGTCAGTGCTTAACGGTGCTCAGCTGCTCTCTTTAGCCGCAGATTGGTCGATAGAAATCAGCTTTTGGTTTGAGAAAATCCCGGCTCTGTGCAGTGTTGTAACTCTGGAACCACAACACAGCTTTTATCTGGCACCAAGCGAAGCAGGAATCCATATACAACTATCCAAATGTTTCTTAATATGGTTATTTTTCCTGTAAAGCTCCACTTATTTCATGAACGTCCTTTAGCTCGGTCATCACATTTGTCTGTGTATATTTTTCTTCCCCAGACTGGATTTGTACAGAGCTGTAAAGAAGTGGTGACCTCATTGGTGTTCAATGGACGTTTGTTTGAAATGCTGGACTCTGGCCTGACTGTGTGTGTTTGTGTTTGTGCGTGTGTGTGTGTGTGTGTGTGTTTGTTTGTGTGTGTCACAGTGAGTAAGGAGGGGTTGGGGGGGGGGGGGGGTGGCTGGGAAATCAATCATTAGCTGATTGATTGTTCAGCTTTTAATGCTCTTTGTAAATATGCTGCCAAATACTGGGAGTTCCAATGCTTGACAAGTAAAACTAGTAGACACTGTTTTTTTTACTACAATTGTGGAATTTAATCATTTTGTTTAATGGTAGTTTAATAGTGTTTCCCTGGTATTTAAGTATTTTTAAAGGTAAAGTAATTGTACAATAAAAATGTAATCATTTTAAGAGAAAATAAGTGAGAATTGCAGTTGCCAGTCATTTTGTGTCCATTTCTGTATTTAGTCAATTTTTTATTGCATGAAGTGAGACAAGAGTTTAGACAAGACATAAGTTATGCATTCATTGTCAGGACAGGATTTACAATAAAAGGGAAAAAACACAAAACACAACAACAAATATTATGGTGTCAGATGTGTGTATCAGCAATAGTGCAGGCAGTTTAATGTGTAGGTTGTGTGCAAGTGTGTTTAATGGAGGATTATTTTTTAAAAGACAGGACAAAAGAGAGAAAGGGAGAAATAAATAAAGTATTCCGGTCATTTCTTAGATTCTTACACAGTTATATTTTGCACTAAATTGCATATTCCTCCCAAACATTTGCAGTTAATCAAACTAGAGCTCATCCGAGGATGTAAAAAAGGTACATGAATAAAAGTTACAGTGCAGTGTGAGATATATCAATTAAAAGCAGCGGCAAAAAGAAAAGTCTTCAGCCTGGATTTAAAAGTAGTAAGAGTAGTTTCTGGTAGTTTGTTCCAGATATTTGGAGCATAATAAACATCTCCATGTTTAGTTCTGACTGGGGACATACAGTAAAGCAGAACAGGAGACCTGAGAGATCTGGATGGTTCATAATTTAGCAGTAGATCAGAAATGTATTTTGGGCCAAAACCATTCAGAAACCAGCAACAGTATTTTGAAATCAATGATTTGACAGATAGGAAGCCAGTGTAAAGACCTCAGAAATTGAGTAATGTGATCCAAGAAATAAACCAAACTTATTTTTCATAGATTACTTTGCCCTTATCCTCTCCCTCTCTCTGGGCAGCTCTGAGGCGAGCCACTCGACGGTGCGTTGGCGGGCCTCCTCCCACGTAAACCTGGGGGAGTATCCCAGGTTGTCCTTGGCCTTCTGGTAGGAGAAGCTGAAGGGCGTGTTCAACATGGTGACCAGCTGCCGGTTCAGCGGTGGCACGATGCGTACGACGGGTCGGACCATCAGGCACAGCATCTTCATCAGGAAGCACACCAGGTAGAGCAGGCGCAGCGGGTACATGAGCTTCTCCTGGATGTTGAAGCCCAGAGGCGACATCACAACATAGTTAAAATCCGAGTAACTCATGTGTGGTGTGTCGTCGGAAATGAAGTAAAACTTTCCTCCGATAGCGTTTCTCTTCTGTGGATCTTTGAGGCTGCGGGCTGCTTGGAGGTGGGCCGTAGCCACGTTACCGACGTACACCGGATTCACTTTAGCTTCTGGTTTGGACATGCGGTAAAGAACGTTTTTATTCTTTATGCCGTCGCCCATGTGGCCCAGCAGGAAGCGGCAGCCCTCCCCGTAGATGTACATGGGTCTGAGGGCGCAGGTGGCCAGGCGGCCCCCGTTGTGGAGCATCTCTCCGTGGGCCTGGAGCGTACGCTGCTCCGCCTCCTGCTTCGTCCTGCTATAGGCGAACTTCAGAGCGCAGGAGTACTCCATGTCCTCGCTGCCGTTGATTATTGGGTCACCTTTAGAGTTTGGTCCCATCACCTCGATGGTGCTCGTGTAGATGAAGGACACAACGTTCTCCTGAACACAAGCCTCCAGGAGCAGCTGCGTTCCTGCCAAACAAATAGTGCATACACGTTTAAAGAGATTTTAAATCACGGTGTTCAGAAGAGGGCATACGCAACCCAGTCTCACGGCATTTCATGTTATAGTCACGACATTTAATCTATTGATTCGTGTTCACCAACATTTTAAAAGCAATGTATTTCTATTGGTAGTAGGTTTCGTGCTTGCAGCACGTCTTTTTGTCCGTTCGGGTCTTGGAAGACCGGAAGCTGTGGGGTTCATAAAAACATGTTCTTACTCAATATCGAGCCAGGATTATTGTTTTTATTTTCT